TAAATATAAATATAGAATTAACAATGCAAAAATTTTAAATATTTGATAGATTTTATAAGAGTCCAATAAAAAAAAATATAAACAAAAATTTTTTAGATTTTACAAATTATTATTTATATTATATATTTTTTTCTATAAATTATTTTTAGTGTTAAATTATAAAAAAGTCTTCATTTAGTTTGGTTTAAATGATTTCTAAAGTTGATATTATCTTTAATTTTAAATAATTTAGATTTATTTATTCAAAATAATATTAACTTTTACTGATTTATTTTTTATTTTAGAAATCTATAAGATGGGTTTATTTGTAATTCATATGAAATTTCGTAAAAAAATGAATCATTAGATACCATTTTTGTAATTTTATTGATGGGTAATTTATTCTTCAATAATCAAACTCAGTTCCATTTCAATCTTTTCCATGCTTAAAATAGTTTTCATAATTTCCATAGTCCCTAAGACATTTTTTTCACTATTTTATTAAATATTTTCTCACTCATTCGATTCTCTAAACTGCATTTTCGAACTTCCAATTTTTAGAACTTTACTTACTATATTTTCTAATATAGAGTAATTTTATGCTATATTTATATCTAATTTAGAAGTACTTATAAGCAAATTTCCACAATTTTCCTTACTTAATTTCAAATTGAATATAATATCCTAAATTCCTTAAAAATGATTATTAATCAGATACATGATTTAATGAGCTTTTGGTGTTTAATTTGTGTTTCCAATATTCAGATATTTACTCCTACACTATATCTTCGAATATAAGTTATTTATTTACCTCTTCCCTTTGTAATTGATAGAACATTTTTACTTCAAATAATTTTCACTAATTTAAATCCATTTTTCAACTTTATTACCTTTACTATAATAATCATCTTCAAAATAAATGTATAAAATGAGCAAGCTCGATATGATCCATATATCAACACGAATTAGTTAAACTTACTTAATCGCTATTATCGTCTACTAATCCATCCATTGATCTATTTTTTATCCTTAAAATATATTAGATTTTATTTTTGATGTCTTCTAAAAGACAATTTTTCTTTCCTCAATTTACTCTCCACAGGAGGTAATTGTATTGTAAAATCTTTTAATAATTTACATCCTACATTCATGATTTAAATCACATTATTCTATCTATTATCAAGACTTTAAGTCTTTTCATTATAATAGCCTCCTTTACTAAAATAAATAATTATTTTAACATTTTTATATTCATTCTTAGAAAATAGGTATCCGTTATGATTCCTTCTGTTCCCAGTGTTTACTTTTCTAATTCTAAAATGGAAAAATATTAAAAATGAGTCAGAGTTCATAAGATATTAGTAAAAAATAGGCAAAATTTAATTAATTATTTTGATGGCAAAATATAGTGTATATATAATAAATATGATTATTATAGTATTAAATATGTAAAAAACTTTAGAAAAAAGGAATTTAAATGATGCTTAAACTGTTATTATATAATTATAATTACATTTATATTTCATGGTATTTATTACTACTATAATGGTTATTATTATTGTAAAAGCTTTTATTCTCTTAATTTTTGTTTCCTTATTCTTCTTCTTTCTACTCTTGTCATTCTTTAGTTTCCATTTGAATTTTTTGGCATTTTTTATTTATTTTTATTCTAATTGCCCTATAAATATTTGCATTTATTTCTTAATGAGTTATATACACTTTAAAATATTTCAGCTTCAATTTCTTTTATTTATTATTCAATAAGTAAGTTATTAAGGATATTATCAACATTCCATTCAACTTCTTTTTTTGTTCTTTCATAAGATTTTTCTATTCTTGAATGATATGCTGCTATAATAAATAAATCTTCAGGTAATTCTTCATTTAAAAAATATCTAAAAACTGATTATAATGTCTTAATTTTGAATTTCTGTCCATTTAATAATTATTCAAATAATGGTTTATTGAATTCCATTTTAGATACAAAATTATTGAAATTAACATTAAGATTTTTAATTTTATTGGCAATTTCTAATTTTAGATTTTCAAAATTTTGAATATTATCTAATTCTTCTTAAGAAAATTAATCTTTGATTAAATTAATAATTTCATTTTTTTGAATATCTATTTCCATAACTTTTTTGAATAATTTTTCATATCTAACAATTCTACATATAGCTTCAATAATAAGACGTTGAATTATAATTTTAAACTAATCTTAATTAAAATTATTTTTAATCTAATTTAACATTAATATAGTTTTTGATAAATCTTCACATTATGTTTTAGTTTCTAAATTTTCATCAGCCATAGTTCCAATTGGATCTGCTAATAATTTTTCTAAATGAAACTATGCTTTAACTGATTATGAATAAGATAATATAAAACTTGAATTAATTAATTCAATCATTTCATATTTCCATTGATTTTCTTCTTAACAAATCATATATAATAATGTATTTCCTAATAATGCTGCATATGCATTTTCAAAACATGTATCTGCATTTTCCATTAATACAAAAGTCATTTAAATATAAAATACATTAGATCTTAGGAAAGGTGCAATAATTTCATGTTAATATAATGGTAATAAACAATTAAACTTCTCTTTATCATTATCTCCAATATTAAATTCAATTTCATGATTTGGAGAATCAATAATTGCTAAAGAATCAATATATTTATTAATTCTAGCAATATTTAATACTTCAACTGAATATGGATTAATTTTTGACTAATCTGATCGTTTTACATATATTGCATAACCAATAATAGGTAATGATGATACTAAATGATATTAAGTTTCACAGTTCTTCAATCCTTAAATTAATTCAGGATCTGTTAAAATATCAATTTAATTTTATAAAGATAAAATTGATGCAGGGAAATTATAGTTAACAAACTTAGTTTTTTCAATCATTTCTATAAATTCATCTTTATATGTTTAAAATGCTTCTACAGATACACCTGCAAATTTCAAAGCTCTATTGTGATATTTTCCAATAGAGGTTCCTATTTTTAATCTTTATGCTGCTGCTTCTTAATCTAACTCTTATAAAGTTTAAGAAGAAGCCAAAAATTTAAGTTCTTAAATAATTTCATAAAGTGCTGATTTTTATTCTTATGTTCTTTCTAAAAATGTCAATTTCTTTTTTTTAATAAATTTATTAATTTCTTCTAATGCTTTTTATGCTTCTTAAGATACTTTTTTCTTAAGAGATAGTAATTATAAATTTTATAACCAATATGCTGCAATTTATCCAATTTATTCCCCTGTTACTTCTATTTTTTATAATTTTCCTTTTTCTGTTTCTAATTCATCTGTATAGAATGATACCCAAGAATCAGGCCAAATTGTATCTGTCATTTAATCCCAAGGAAATTAATAACATGGATTACTTTTTATTGGAGTTTAATGTTTCATATATTATGCTGCTGTTAACATTTCTATTTCAAAATTTTTATCTTAGTTTCCTTATGTTGTATTAACCAAAAATAATGAAGGAATTGAACGATCTCCATTATGATACATTTCTCTTAAATCCATTGCTATAAATGTTGGAAAACCTTTACCAACTCCTATACATATAAAATTTAAATTTTATATTTCTGGTCTTGATTTATTTATTAAATCTTTTGTAAAACTTCCCTGTCCATCAGATACAAACAATACTGTTACATTTTTTTTTTATTTTAAAGAATATAATAATTTATTTAACTCTGAAAAAGCTATTGTTATATCTGTTCCTCCACCACCATAAGTATTAATATTATAAGATAGATCAGCTTAAGCAATCGTTTTAACTTTAGTATCGAATGTAATAGCACAATGTTATTTTACATTCTTTCTTATTTCATTATAATATTTAGCTACATATTGCCATTCTAATATTTAAATTAACATCTTACAACTACTCATAGATCCTGAACAATCCAATACTGCTAATAATTATGTTTATTCACTTTTTGCACTTGGTACTTTAAAATAATTCAATTATATCTCTTAAAACATTTTTAATTAAATAAATGATTTTCAATTAAAAAAATTAAATAAATATTTAAATTTATTCTTTCATTATTCATTTTTTAAATCTTATTTTAATTATATTCGGTCTTTACAATATTATTTTACAATATTATCAAATCATTTTAAATGAGGTTTATTACAAAATAATTTTATATATTATTTAATTATTCAAAATAATAATATTTGTTATTTCTATAAAGATAATGATAATATTTTATATTAGAAATATACAAACAAGTTTTAAAAATTTCATGTGAACTGATACATTTTATTTTCTTTAATACATAAATATTAAATTTTAAGTACTTTTTAAAAGGGATTTTCAGGCTTTCGCAAACCCAATTGTATAATGTTTTAATATTTTCAAGTGAGTATTATGTTATTCAGGAATATCTTGGTTTAAATATTCCAAAATTTCTTTCATTTCATTAAGTGTATTTTTCCTATCTTAATTATAATCAATAAATTTAAAAAAATTTAGAAGGAAGCCTTTCCTGATGATTATACCCCTGAAATAAAATTACTAACAATTTGTTTCTCAGTAGCTATTTCAATCTCATCTAGAATAGTTTTTAATATTTTTTCCTTCCTTAATCATAAATAAAAATTTTCTTTAATTAATATAATCTTAGGATATTCTTTATTTATCAAGACTTCTCATTAATTAATCTTTAATTTTTTATCTAAAGTTTACCATTCTAGATGCTTTTAATGCCCTTTTGATAATATTTTCAATTTCAAAAAAGATTTTATCGGTTTCTAATAATTTTTGTAATATGTTTTATGACAGGGTCTACTTCTCATTCTTTTGCACTTTTATGAATTTTTTGAGATAGGTCTTAATTCTCTTAAGAACTCAAATATCTATTATCTATTTAAAGTCTTAGAGCTTGTAAGCACAGAATTATCAACTAAACTTTTAATTTAAACAGTAGATTATCAATCTATTACTTCAACAAAAACTTAAATTACCATTCAATTATAAGAAACAAAATAAACTAATATTTACACTCTGATTAATAAATTTTTTTTTCCGATATAGCTTTTAATTCTGATACATTCATAATGTCAAATTTTATCAATATTTCAATTTATAGATTGTGCTATCTTTTTATATCAAAAATTACTCAAATTCAATTATTCATGCAAATTAACATTTGAAAATTTGTTTTAAGAATAAAAAAGCGAACTCATAGTTAGTGATCAGCAATTTTTTTTATTTTGTATAAGTTGAAGTTTTTCATTTTAATACAAATAAAAATTAAGGATTATATTTTGATCAAATGTTAGAAATTATTATTTTATGAACTTAATTATCAATTTTTTAGATGAGAATTTTTTTAAAATGGCTAAAATTTGCTTTTGCCTTGATTTCTTTGAATTTCTTTATCATTTATATTAAGAATAAAAATTATTTATATGTTTAAATTTTTTATCAATTAATATAATTAGTATATTTATAAAACTATGAAAATTTTTATAGTCACTACTTTAATATTAATTTGTTATCTGTTACTTGATCAAGTTTATGATCAATATTTATGGGATTTGAATACAATAATTACTAAATATCTTTAAACATATTAAGACCCTTTTTATGAGATTATGTTTAATTGTTTTTCAGATTGGATAAACCTTTTACCTCAAATAGCTTTTTTAATATTCATATTTACAGAAAATAAATTAGCCTACATTATTTATGTGTGTTTAATTTAATCAATAACTTCAATAAATTCAGTTTTAAAGAATTTATATCATTAACCTAGACCTTATTGGATAGAATCTGAAATTTAAGCTTTATCTTGCAATAAAGATTTTGGTAAACCTTCAGGACATACTATGGCATCATTGACAACATTTGCTTTATTTCCTTTAATAGTCCTGCCCTAAAACTTTAAAAAAAAGCATAGGCCAATTTAAATAATAGTAATTGGTATTATGTCCATTTGGACTGTTATGGCTGCCCTATCTCGCATCTATTTAGGAATGCATAGTATAGGTTAAATTCTATTAGGTTGGGTATATACTGGCTATTTTATTATCATATATATATCTTATCTTCATAAACCAATCTTAAATTACTTAAAAAAAAGATTATCATCTGTAGAAAAAGGTATTAGTTGGAAATTTGTGGCAATAACTGGTTTAACCACTTTTATTTATTTAATAATATCAATTCTATTGTACTATTGGAATAAAAATTATGTTTATTATGATTAAACAGAACTTAATTTATGGTTATCAATAATCTAATAAAAATGCTCTAATTAAACTCATCTCCTTGAATTGTCAGACTCTAAAGTTTTCTATAATTTCTGTCTCTATAAAAGCTTTGAGATTACTTTAATCTTTTTCATTATTTTAGGAATAAAAATAAGTAATGGAAAATATGATGAAGAATATTTTATTCATAATTATTCACTATTAAATTAGAAATAAAAATTAATGCGCATTTTAATTGTTCTTATTCTTTTATTTCCTTTAAAAATTTTAGAGATGAATGAAAATGACAATGTTTGGTTAATAATAATTATTTAAGTAATTAATATTTTTATAAAAGACTATACCTTGGAATGCCTTCTGTGGATTAAGTCTTACTTTTGGATATTCTAAATTATTAAAATATTATAAATTAAATATTGAAGGAGATTTTCTATATATAAAATAGGTAAGAAATCATTTATTAAAAATAAGGATCCTCAAACCATTTATGGAAAATATAAAGAGATTAAAATATGTGTTTGAAGACATTGTTTAATAATTATATAAGCAATATATTATTAAATATGTATTATTTCTTCTTTATCTATCACTGTTACTAGAAATGCAGTAATAAATCAAATACGGCTCCACAACCAACACCAAAATGTTCAAATTTCTTTTTAAGATAAAACTGATTTATTAATACTTAAAGATCAATATCTCTTGTTTATTTGATTGAATTATTGATTATCTTAAACAGCTTCTTGCTTATTTTTTATTTAAAAATTACAATATTTTTTATATAAATCAAATATGTGTCTGATCAATTAATTGAAAAATTCTTCGATTGTAGTACATAGATAAATTTTTTTTACTTTTTAATAACTTTGTCGTCCAAATTTCCAACAATTTAATCATTCAGTATGTCATATTTCATTTATAATATCACGTTCCCATTAAGAATCTTTTTACAAAAAAAAATTAAATAATAACGATGTGATGGAGTAATAATCAAGAAAAATTGATATTCACAGCATTTAGATCTCATTAATGAAAATGCGTGGTTAAGATAACATTTCAAAGAAGCTAATAGTTACTTGTGATTATTACATATACATTAATAAATAAATAAATCAATTATTTCAAGAATAAGTATCAAGACAAGCATGATGATAATTACAAAGTCATTAAAACTCAACGAATTAAGATGCCCGACCTAAAATAAAGAGAAATATTAAAATAGTTTGATTGATAGAGAAACACCTTTTAATTGATTAAATTTTTATTTAAAATGAATAATAGAAAACAAAATCTCAAAACTAAAGGTATGTAAGTTTCTAGACTTATTATATTTTTCTCTTTAATAGCTTTAATAAGCGTTTAAAAAAAAGCATGGATTGTCCAATTTTTATAAATAAGGCTTTTTTATGCAAATTAAAGTTTGATTGGCATTGAAATAGTCTTATAAAAAATATGAAATTTTTTATTTTAGGTGATTTCTGCAACTATTAAATTTATGATCACTAAATGGTAAATCAATGATTAAGAATATAGTTTATATCATTTTAATAGTATAATCATATATCAGTATTTATTAATCTCTGAATATCAAAATTATGATGATTATTAACATTTTATATTATGATATCATTTGACTAGATTCTAGAAAAGAAAATTGGGACTGGATTATATCAATTCAAAGTTTTATCTATTGTTGGTCTAGTTGAATTTTGTAATGGAATATTGTATACATTTATGTCAATTATGATGTCAATTCTAAAATCTGAATGGGATTTAAATTAGTCTGAAATAGCTAACATTGGTTCATCATATTTATTAGGAATAGTCTTAGGAAACTTATTATGTGCTTTTCTTGTAGATAAAATTGGTAGAAAAACAACTTTTGCATTTTCTACAGCAATATGTGCGTTTTTGTGTTTTTAAATAAGTCTTTCAAATGAATATTTAGAAATGATTTTTTTAAGGTTGTTATTTGGAGCAGTATTTGGACTTACCTATTAATTAGAATTGATTATACTCTCAGAAATAACAGAAGCAAAATTTAGAGGACGATTTAGTTTCTCAGTTTCTCTATTTTTTGTTTTAGGAAAAATATGTTTAATAATTCTTTGTTTTGTGTTTTTAGATAATTTTGAATCTGGAAATTGGAGAGGTTTAATGCTTTTTAATGGTGTACCATTATCTATTGCATCTGTACTTTCACTTATTTTTTTAAAAGAAACAATTAGATATTAATTAAATTTAGGATAATTTGATTAAGCATTTAAAGAAATTGAATTCATTTTAAAAGAAAATGGAAGAGAAGATTGTGTATTAAATGAAGAAGAAGTAATATATTAATAAAATATTATTATAGAAAAAAGGATTGTAAATTTGGTAAGAAAAGTAAAAAATTGAATTTTAAGAATAACAATTACATAAATTTGGAATATTTTCATCTGAATATAAAACTATCACTCTTTTACTTTGGTTAATCTTTGTCTTAACTAACCTTTAAAGTATGACAATTTATGTTTTAACACCATTCTTATTAGCTCAAAAAAATTCAGGATTTGGTCCTATGCTTATTTTATTTATTATTGAATTCTGCTTTTCTATTGTAATTTATCATTTTATAGATAATCCTCATTATGGTGGTAGGATTAATATAATTGCCTATTCAGGATTTGCTTTATTATTATCAAATGGATTGTTATTTATATTTTAAGATAAATTTCTCTATCTTGGCTTATTTGTCATTAAAATAGCAACAAGAGGATTGTTTTCAACTATAGGTATTTTAGCTTGTGAAAGTTATCCTTTATATCTAAGATCATAAGGATGTGGTATAGCATAGGCAATAGGTAAAATAGGAGTTATCCCTTCTCCATATTTTTTATTTCCTTTATTATTTTTTGATCCATATCTGCCTTTTTTATTAATGGCATTATTGTCAATTTTAATTTTGATCTTTGCTTATGTTTTTAATAAAGATAAAACTTAAAAACCTTTAGAAACTTTAAAAGAAGAATGAATAAATATATTTATGTATTCTTCTTAATTAATCAAATTGATTTCTTTTCACCAAATTCTTAATAGATTTAGCCTCAGCCATAATTCTTTCCCTTCTATGTGCATGTCATTAATATCTGTCAATTTATGTCAATCATTATAAAGGAAATTTATCATTACATTAAGTAGCACTTCTTAGTTCAATAGCTTTATTTGGTATAGTTTTCAGAATTCTTATGTTCTTTTTCAATTAATATTATCCAATTATTTGTTTTTTTCATATTCCTATGCTAATTAAATATAAAATAATCCCCTTTGCAAATATTTAATTTTTTACACCACGCCCCAGATGATTACATATCAAAAATCAAGAGGCAATTCAATATTTGACAGAAACTATAAAATTTCATTTAAGCAAATCCAAATATGAGATAGCTGTTAATATAATTGATTATTAAATTACAATAAATGGAAATAATTGGCTATTAATTATTTGAGGATTCTGAAGTAAATTTATTTATAAAATTTGTTTAATAATTTGGTCTAAGTGATAAAAAGTATAATCTTTATATCTATCCTCATTTTTATATTCACAGATTAAAATCATTCACAAATTTATATCATTAATTGTAATCACCATAAAGTTATCTAAAACAATAACTTAAGAATTAAAAGAAATTGAAAATCAAGAATATAGTAAAAAGTTAAATAATCATTTTTTAGTATTTTTATTTTAACTAAAAATTGCACAAATTTTTAATTTTTTTGTTTTTACTAAATTATTCTACTCTTTTCTCATATATTTATTTACTTTCTTAAAATATTTTTATGTTTAAATGAAATTTCGTACAAAAAATTAATTAACACCAATGAGTTATTATCAAAACTTAAAATTTTGGAAAATAAATTATATAAATGGTATAAACTTAAAAATCGTTGATTTTTCTTATTTAATCAGTTTCTTAATAAAATAAATTTAGTTTTGAAAATAACAAATAAATAAATAATAGAATGTTAAATTGATCCTGGCATTTGGAAATAAATAAATATTTTTATAGAATTTTTATAATAGAATTAAGATGATTTTTTTTTAGATATTTGGGAATGTTTGGATTAATTTGAATATCTTTATTGATGTCATATCATTATTTATTTAAATTTCTCATAGTAGGAGATTAAGGTAATAGTTATATAATAGTATGAAGATGTTGGAAAATCTTGTATTTATTCATAATTTTTGCATTAAAATTATAGAGAAAATTATGATATGACAGTGGGAATAGAATTTGGATCGAAAACTTTGGAATTAGAGAATAAACAAATAAAATTATAAATTTGGGATACTGCGGGCTAAGAAATATTTAGATCTATTACAAGATAATATTATAGATCAGCAATAGGAGCAATATTAGTTTATGATATCACAAAAAGAGAATCATTCTAAAATGTTCAATAATGGATTAGAGAGTGTTAGGAACAAGGCACATAAGATATGGTTTTAATGTTAGTCGGAAATAAAGTTGATTTAAAAACATAGTATAATATTCATAATATATTTGTCGTAAAGTTTCCTAATAAGAAGGATAAGAATTAGCGAATGAAAATAATATATTATTTATTGAAACAAGTGCAAAGAATAATTTAAACATTAGTGAAGTAAATTTTTAACTTATTTTATAGACTTTCTAATAAGCTGCATTAAAAGTCTTGAAATATGTAGAGAGTAATTAACACAAAAATGAAATAATAGGAGTTCGAACTGGATAGGCTATTAATAATATTTCAGTTTAATCAAATAATTCAAAATCAGGTGGATGTTGCTGAAATTCTAAACTAAATTAAATCTATTTTATATGACTATTTTTATCAATGCAAATTAACTGAATCTAATCAATTCTAATTATTTAAGCATTCAGTTGTACTTTCTCCAAATACATAGTAAAAACTAAAATTGCTTTTATCTCATTATACATTTAAGTGATTTAATATTTAAAATAAATTCAGCATTCTTCCAAGATTCACTTTTTTATGATGTTTTTAAAACCTAAACCACTTCTTAAACTTGTTTTATTTATGCTTTTCAGCGATGTTAAATTAATAATCAAGTAATTTAGAACCATATTTAATACTCAATAAAATTGAAACATAAATTATAATAATTAATATGTTATTTTATTTCAGCCTTTTAGAAAGATGGTTTAATTTAACTTAATAATAATTTAATTTAAAATATAAATATCAATTAAGTGATGTTTATTTAGAGTTTTAGATATTAATATTGTAAGCTTAATAAATAAATTAATCAGTTATTAATAATAAATTGAAAATTAGTAATTATGTGTATTGCAATATAAAATGAATCAAATCAATTCGAATAATAATTGTAAACATTTTGTAATGTGGTCTCCATAATAAATGCAATCAAATATGCAATCACTAAAATATTTATGATTATTGAATCATCTGTATTTTTTTTTATAGGTTAAATTACTTAAGGCTATAGGGTTTGAGGTAAAAATTGATATTAATCCACTTCTTTAACAAACTCTGTTGATTAAACAGATTCAAGTTCAAATGATTCTACATTAAAATTCTAACATGAATCAATGAATTTTATTAATTATGCTATGGAAATTTGTTATGTTTCAAAGATTAATCTTTCTAATTCTTTTAAAATTAAGTTCAATTTTCTTAGAATCATATGTTGATTGCTATTTAAGTTTTCAAATTTCTCAAATTTAAATATTTTGTCTAATTACTCATCCAATATATTTTTGAATTATCTTAATAAATTTTAAATATTTAAAGTTTCATCTTATAATATCAACTTTTTATAGTCTGCCAATCCTTAAGATACAATTGTCCAGATTGATTAGACAAGATCTAATTATTTATTAGTGCTTTTTGATCGAATAAAACATCCAAGTTTGGCTTTATTTAATTTAACTTTAATTTCTTCTTCAACTTTTTCTTTACTAGGAATTTATTCAACTTTTATCTCTTTTTTTCCAAAAAATTCAATAAAATTATTTATTTCTTCCTTTTTTTTGATATTTTTTTGCAATATAGTAAGCTTTGATTGATCTAGTTCATTAATTTTTAAATTTCCATCCCCAAATCTAGTGACAATATCAACAAGTGGCACAACTAATTATACTGTTTCTTAGTTATTTTCATCTTTGTTAACTGTAATTTAACTTAAAATATTTTATATTATTTGATTCATTTTTTAAAATGTTTTTGGATAGTTTGAATCCTATTTAGCTGCTGCTTCAATTAATTCTTATTGTACAGAATTAATGATAAGTTAAGATATATGAGTAGGATTTAATGTAGGTTTTAATTCTTTTCCTTCTAACAATACTTTTTATTAAAGACCATTATTAATTTTAAGAAATGGTTCATTTGGACTAATTAAATAAGTAGGATTTTTGGAACCTATTGTTTAATAAACGGGTTGATTAACTTTAAATAAATGTGATTACACTTCAAGAAGTAGTTTAATTTTGTTAAAAATATCAATGAATTCTTACTTTAACTAATCAAGTGGTTTATAATCCCTAGCAATTTCAAACAATGCAGGACAGCTTGCATTTTAATTATGTATGCTATTTCTTAAAATGTTAGATATTGTATTTGGAAATTAATCTCCAACAGCTAAACTAATAAATTAAATTAAGTATTTCTCTTTAATTTTATCAATTTAATCTTTTAATTCGTTAAATTCAAATGGTTCTTATCCATCACTTACAAAAACAATTGTAATATTTTTTGGATAATCCTCAATTTCAAGTTTCTTAAGAATTGTCTAAAATGTTTTAGTTATATCTCCTCTTTCGGCTTCTCTAAATGGAAGTAAATCATATAATTATTCTTCCCATTAAAATTTTAGTTAATTTTAACCCAGAACACTAAATACATTATCATGAGCTTCAATAATTGTTTAATATTCATAATGCATTGAACCTGTACCATCAATAAGAGTTATTAAATATGACTTAGAAGTTGAGCATTCTTAAGCCATAAATACTTCATAATTATCTACATTTTTTATCATTTTTTATTTTTTATTTTTTATTTGAATATTTGAGAGTTTTTTAAAATTTATAGGTTATCTAATTCTATCAATAAAATTGGAATAATTTTTTGAAAATTATTTATATTTAGAAAAATATTTTTAATTTAATATAAATCGAATATTTATGCATTTCAAAAACTCTGGATTAATTAAAAAATAAGAGATACAGAGCACTAATGTGTTGCTGAAAAAGAAAAAAATTATTTATATAAAAAATCAACTTTCTAATTTTAAGAACCTGTTTATAAAGAATAAAGAATATCACTGATAATAAAATATTCATTATACTTTGCGTATAAATAGAAAATATAATTTTGCCAATAAATCAAATTACCTAAATTAGGTAAAAACAATCATAATTAAAATTTTTCATCTTATCAAAAATGTTTTCTTTGGAATTAATTTTTAAGAATTCTTCCCATTTAATTAAATAAAAAAAAATGGGTAAGGTTTTATACGACAAATGTATTTGGTTGAAAATTTTTTTCTAAACTTAAAAATTTATTTGGAATTCAAAATTTTTGTGAATCTCTAAAGCCCGATTCTTGCTATAAAATTAGGTATCAACTCCCCTCAATTTCAAATTGGTAACTTAATGGCTCCTTTTACTTACCTATTAAATATTACCTATTTACCTATTGTTATTAATTTAGTCAGTGATATTGACCTATGCCTAAGCCAATTATTTACTAGAGGATTTGATTCAGCATGATTTGGACTTGTTTCTTTTCATCATCGTTGTACAAACCACCAAATCCAGGAATCATTTCACCTTACCAAGTTGCTGTCCATTTGCCATGCTTTTTATTATTTTATACATATTCTTCGATCCATTCTTAAGTATTTACTCCCATTTTTTTAACACATATAACAAAAGCTCACAAAATCTAATCACTGAGAATCTTTTTTTACCCTAACATACCTTTTAAAATATATAAAACCACATTTTACTTAATATAGATCTATTTGGTAAAAATCTGAGTTTGCATTGTTGAAATGGCAAAAGACTCAGAAAAAGGACACTAAAAATAGTTTGATTCAATAATGCAAATAATGAATTAAGAGTAATCATTATGAAAATTTTTCAAAAGAACATTCAATCCCATTTTTATATTAAAATTTAACTTTAGATAATCTTAACTCAAAAACTGAATATTTTTGTTAAATAGCAATTTATGTTATATAATTTAGTAATTAAAAAGTGTTATTTTTCTGCAATAATTTCATTTCTTTACATTTATCAAGATATATTTATAATACAATTATTAATTTGTCTTTAAGTTAGAATCAAAAACTTATTATCAAATCAGAAGTCATCAAATAAATCTTCTGTGAAAGAGAAAAGTTGGAAATTAATGACACATCTTTGAAATTTTAATTAAAATACTTTAATTTTTTTTAATTTTATGTATCATAAATGGATTCTCAGAAAGGACTATTAAAAAGTTTAGATTAAATTAGAATAATCTGAAAATAAATAGAATAAAATTATAAAGATGAATTTGAAATTATTTTATTCTAAGTATTACAAAAAGAAGACAGAATTAATAAGAAAAAAAATAAAACCATAGTTCTAAAATAAAAAAAACAAATTCTGAGAAGTACTATAATAATTTAATACATAATATCATATTAATATTGAGTAAATAAATAACCATTAAAAACTAATTAATAGAATTTAATCTAAACTAAATCAAATTTTTAAAGAAGTGGATGGATTTTATACTGAAAACTTATCAGAAGTATTTTATGGAATTTTAATAAATTAAAGAATAAAAATAATGTTTATGTTGAAACCTACTGAAAATAAAATAGAAGTTGAGAAGAATACGCAAAATATTTAAGTATGAGAAAAATAAATGTAGAATAAAAAACTTTAACTAAGAAAACCATTATAAAAATTTATTTAAAAATACTTCCTAAAAATAAATTAATATAATAATTAATTTATATTTATTATTATAAATTGTTTATTTTTAGATGGTAGATTAAATTAAGCAATTTAATGAAAAAAAATGCATTAGATTTATAAAAAATAAATTTCTAATTAAATGAATAATATCAATTTAAAATTAGAATATCATAAGATAAAAATAATAATATTTAAATGATCTATAAGAATTATGTAAAGACCCAAGAAATTAAATAATTAAAGATGAAAAGTTTTAAATCAAAACAATAAATGAATACCAAAAATCTTCCTAAAAAAAATGTTTGTCTTAAGTTATTTTGGTGTAAATTAATTTGCTTAATACAATCAAAATTTATACTCAAGAATTTTATCCAGTAAAAATACTCTCTTAATTGAATTAAAAAGAATAATAATTCCATAGATGGAGATACTTTATACTCAAATATACAAAGTTATGAAGTACATTTCTAGTCACTACTTTAAATCAGAGTATTTTAATAATTTTAGGGATTAAATAATCAAATAAAATCCTTATGAAGTATTAAGCCGAGAAATACTCCAAAGAATTCATGTTCATAAAGAGCAGCATAAAATTAAATTTTAATTTAAATTAATATCTTTCATCAAAAATTATTGAGAAATTAGAAAATCTAAAGATTAACTATTAAATATGAAATAATTTTATGTTTGAAGAGTAAGGTGTTGCAATAGTTGATATTTAAAATTATTAAAACAATAAATTGATTATATTAAAAATATCTGATTCTAAAATACGTCTTTGCTAGTGTAATGATCACTTTTTAGTTACTTGTAAAGAGATTAATTAATTTAATACTAAACTACATGACCTAAAATCAGATAAAAATTTAATTAAGACAATTAATTAATAATATTTTAATTTAGTAATTGCAATTCAGCCAATAGTTAATTTAGTATTTATTAGTAAATTTTTAATCCTTAAGATCAGTAATTATTTAATCTAGAAACATTTGTTGTTAATTATTGAAGTATTAATAGTATTCAATATTATTCATTTTTGAGGAAATTCTTGATGAGTGAATAATTAAGACACTTGAAACAAATCTTTAGAAAACCTGGACATAGAAATTTTAAGAATTGTAATGATAAATCAAATATACAAAATAAAAAAATTGGAAAAATGTTTGGAATATTGATTTTGCAATATTAATTTGTTCATATTTTAAAAATGAAAGAATTATAAAGTCATATTCTCATAAAATAGAAATTAAAACATACTTTTCAAATATTCTCATTCTCTATAATTCAGGTTGAATGGAAAAAAATAAATGGAATAAGGAACAAAGCAAAAAAGGAGCTTGACAATTTACAAAGAACAAAATTATTTATAATGGATGTTGTAATTCATTTGCGATAAAATTAATAGATTGAAATAAGTTAAGATCAATAAATGCAATGAAAACTAATTTATAATTTATTTATTCAAAACAAAAATATTTAGAATCAGTTTATGAAAAAGAAGAAAAAACCATTAATTATTTGAATTTAAATATCCTGAAAATTATAGACACATAAAGAATGAAGGTAAAAGCTCATAATTTAATTATAAGATATGATTAGAAGTAGTTTTTATTTCAAATAAATTCTTTAAGATTTTAATTATATCAAGTTCTTCAAAATAGTTATTAATAATAATTAGGAATACAATTACCAGACTAAATCTGTAGCGTTGGTGATAGTCCTATGAATTATTCTCAGAAATTTAAAAAAAATAATCAGAGAAACAATGATCTTTTACTATATTCTTTTAGTACATTAATATATATCATAATCACAGTATAAATTTTGAAATCCTAAAAATGAATAGTATTAAATCAAATACTATAGAAAGTTAATTCTATTTTAAAAAAATTACAATGAATCTTAGTGTCTCAACTCTTATAAATTAAAAATTATTAATAATTTTATTTAAAAAAAAAGTAAAAATCATTAAAAACTACTTAAGATTCATTTAGTTTGAATCAAAAATAAATATTAGAATCATCATATCTGACACTACCCAATGCTAGTAAAATACTGATATTTACTTTGAATTTAGTTAGATTTTCAGATCATCTTCAAAATTGCATTGTTTTGATACATTTTTTCTATTCTTTTATATAATTATTGAATATTATTACAATTATCTTTGAAGATGTTCTTTTCTATTCTTATTTTGAATTTTTTGTCTTCTTTTTCTCTTTCATGCCTTCTATTAAGTTAATTATTAATTAGGATAGTAATAATTGTTTTTATTTTCAAATTCAACACAATTAAATGTTTATATTCTCTCTCTACTAATTTGTTTGATCTAATACTTACTCACTTAAATTTACTATAGTAAACTTCTTCACTTAAAAATTTAGTAAACACTATTATTTTTTAGATATCTAAGCTGAAATAAATAAAACACTTTATTAGACTGCAAAAATATCATTAATTACATAAATTTGAAGAAATTGAGGATAGAGATTTAATTAATTTTAATTAATTAATGTTTAATCAAAAAACTTTAAATAATTTATGAATTGTTTCAAATAAATAACAAAAAACATTTTAACTCTAAGTATAAAAATCAAAGATAAATTTAAAAATTCAAACACATTCATTTTATTATTATTTTTATTTCTGTATGTCTCAACTCTATAAATCATAAACCAACGATTACTGATTAAATTTATTATTCATTTAATTATATCTTTAATGTCAAGAATATACATTTTAACTCAATAAATTTAATTTGTTTGTCAGAAAAAAATGAAATATTTCTGGTTATTTTTATCATAAGAAAAAATTAAAACAATTGTTCAAATTAGATCTATATGTTATCAGCCAATAAAATAATAATAAATAAATTCCTTAATGCAAATAAAACTTGAAGATATCAATTTTATTGCAACAGACAAGTTAAACCCTTAAGAGATTGATTTTATTCTTTTTAAATATTAAGGAATATTTATCAAATGTATAAATGATAAAAAGATTTTTTCAAATAGAATTTAGATAAAATTAAGGATAAAAGATATCTTTAATTATAAACTTTATGAGATGGAAATAATTAAAAGCAATAATAAAATAAACATAGTTTTGATTTCATTATTATCACTTATTGAAATCATTCTTCTTGAATTTCTTGGATATATTTTTTCACTTTAAGTAATTGATAACTTTAGAGGAGGACTATTCTTTATTAACCTCAAATATTTCAGCCATTTCATCAACTCTTTTTTATTTCCTATAATTTTGGATATGATATTTATAAATACATTTTTTCTAAAACAAATGCAGCGATTGGATTTTTTGATAAATTTAAAGAACTATCTGGTGCAATAAGTTATTATCTTTCTTTCACTTAGACTGCACTTCTTAAACTTAAAGGGATTGTATCAATGTTTAGTTCCGTTTATCTTCTCATGGTAATTTTACATTAATAATTTTTCAAGGCTATTATTTCTTTAGCTTAAAGTATTAAGAATTATTTTAATTTATGGTATAATTTGGAAACTCTTTAACGTTATTCACGACGATTTGTTAATATTCTTTTCATAAAAGGAATTTGATTTAGAAAAGGGAAATACTTTCTAATTGAATTACGAAGTTTATCAAATTTTTCATCAATATTACTACTTTCTTTTAAATATTCAATTATTATCTTTGATATTAAAGTATATAACATATTAAGATTCAAAACAGATAGAATAATAGCATAAGGAATTTATATTTCTTTAGAATTAGATTATTCTGATACATAAATGCCAATAGCTAAAGCAATTGAAGCTAAACAAACATTTGTAGAATAATAATCTAATTTATTAAGATTATTTAGATTATAAGGTTTATATTTTAAACTTAATTCCAAATACATTCCAATAATAAGTGATATAATTGTAGCTTTAATTATAACATTATCATCATAAAAAGTTAAGAAAATAATCATTAATTCTTTTTAAGCTATTTTGATGATTTCCCAAAAGTAAGCATTTTTAGTATATTCATAATAAAGATAACCCCATAAAAGTCTAACTTTGTAATCATTTAATTAATGAGAATTACTATAAAGACCATAAAAAAAGTAAAGTGGAATAATAATAGCAAGTAATACTAATATAGGTAAACAAAACTCAAGCATCCATTCTTTATGATAAACAGTATCAAATCTATAAGAAACATTAGATTAAATCCATTTATAACCTGAAATATCTCTATATGATATAAGTTAAACAAATCCTCCAATTAAACTTGGTTGTAAATAGATGTACATATAAATTAATGTTGTAGAAATAACACTTCTATTAAAAGTGAAATTTAAAAATTTAACTGCTGCTAAATAAAAGAATAAAAAGAATGTAATATAAAGAAAAGGCATTATAACTTACCAAATCATTCTAGCATATTAAATCTGAAATTAAAAAATCTGAGATAGAAAACAATCTAATGAATAAGTCATTGTCTAAATAGGTGATCCAGCTGCGTTTATTGTACTTTATAGTCCAGGAGGTAATTTTAATTAAAATGTAGAAATTGAAGAAATTATTTACAAATAATTAGTTAACATCTTTATCAATATAGCAGATTGATTAGAATATTATGTTACTGCTAATCCTAACATCATAATTTTCATAATTCTCACAACTTCTTCAATAGCTTTCAAAGTACTTTAAACTGAAATCAATATTGATATTAAAGTCCTAATTTATATCAAATTATATATTACCAAATACTCACAAAAATTATAATCAATACATTTTTTTCTTTTTCTAAACATGATCCACAAGAATATTTTTCATTTATAGAATAATATCCATCTCCTCTTATATTATATAAATCACATTATTCACATAATGCTCCAATATGTCCTAAAAAACAAGAATTATCACCTTCTTCCCATCCACCTAAACAATTTTCAGGTAAATTCAAACAATAACTAATTATATTACTTTAAAAATATGGTCTCCAATATCCCAATTTTAAATTTAATAATGCTGGTTAAACATTTATTGTTGATATATCATCTTTTAATTCACATTTTTCAGAATTTAAAATTAAAGAAAATAGACCTTAGTCACTATTACAAGGAATACATGAATAATCAGTATTATTTTTTATTTCTCCATATTAACAACTTAAAGTCTTTATATTAATTCTCAATCCATAATTAGAGTGTGTACTTATCACATTATATGGGTACTATTAATTGTATATTGGAATAAATATTGAATTGCATCTAAATTATAATTATAATACAATTTCAGAAGGCAGAGCATTATCAAAATATACGATCAAATCATCCAAATTATAATCTTAAGTTTAATTATTAAAACTGATAATCTTCATATTAGTAAGATTATTACTAAATATATTATCTTCATTTAAATCTGAAGTATTTAAAATTCTACTATCAATTTTACAAAATGAATTTTAAAGATTTTTCATCACATTATTATCCTAACTCAAAGCAATCAATCTAAACCTTAAATTAAATGGAGAATATGTTTTATTTATTTTATTAAATTATTCATATTATGAAATCTATTGACCACTTGGTAATAAAATATATTATTAATTTAATAATTTTCTTGATGAAACAATTATTTATTAAATTAATAGTTCTTATGTCTATTTAATCGTTTTTGTTTAAAAATAAGAATTTTCATCGCTTAATGAAACTGTTAGTTTTTAAGGCAATGAAGCCTTATCATTTCCAAAAAATTCAGCTATGTTATTCTAAATAATAGTTCCAATTTTAAAATAATCCATATCTTATTGATCAATTAAATTAATTCCTCCTCCTATTTAGGCTGAATTATGTTATATTAAACTATTTGTAATTAACACATCTTTTTTCATCTTAACTATCATAGCACCTCCTATTTCAGATGCATTATTAAATTAAAAAATTGAATTTTCAATCAATATTTTTACATTTTCAACAAATAAACAAGTTCCATTTTGAGCTTGATTATATTAACAAATATAATTATCGATAAAAACTTCCATATTAAGAGATTATAATTATTTTTATTAAGTTGCAAGAGTTCTTCGATTAGTCAAAGAATTCTCTTTTTTAATATAAAAGCATCCATTAATTCCACATAAAGAATTAGTAATTTTAAGTTTAGAGATTTATTATTTCATTATGAGATTTTCTATCTTTAAAAAGGAATAAAATAATAATCCATTCTAACAAAAATTACAATTAATATATGTAAATACGAGATTATTTAACTTTATTTAACTTGATTCTGTAAGATCTAAAAATTATATCAATCCTGATTCTGTTTTTTCGATCATTAAATTTCTTTCATTTCCATTCTATTATTTGATTGAAGATAATAAGCATTCTCCATAATTAAACTCTTAATTAATAAATTATGGAAATAAATTGAGAGGGGCCTTTTTATTTTTTGCATTTTGAACACATTTAAAATATACTGGGTAATCTTTATCATCTTATTAAAAACAATTATAGTTCTTTAACTATAAATCGACAGTAATGTTAGATATTGAAAGACTACTGATCTGGATATTATTATATAGATCTAGATTATGTATTAAATTTTACATTGATTTGGATGGAATCTAAAAATTACATTACTTATTAGGCTATTTGATATTTAAAAATTTTCAATTGAAACTTTTTAAATATTGTTTGTTTATAATACAGATTCTAAAATTAAATTATCAATTTCGATATTTAAAATAATTATATTTGTAGCTGAATCAATATAAAATAAGGCTCGATTATTTGTAATAGCTATTTCTTCTGTTTTAGAAAGTTAAGTATATTTATTTAAGTAATTTATAAAACCCTCATTTGTATTTTCAATAATAAATTAATCAATATTTACATATTGTTAATTTGAAGAAGTCGAAGAAAAACTAAAATATACAATTGACCCAAATTTAGCATATACATTTCGAATTTTAAAATCCTAAAATGTAATATTAATTTTTGCAGAATCTGATAATATATAAATAAAACCTCCTTGTTCTTTGGCTACAATATTTTCAATCATTATTTTTTTAAAAATAACTTCAAGAGATTATGCTGAAGTACTGTCTAAATTTATTGCTCCTCCTTATCCTAATTCTTATTAAAATGTAGTAGAGATATTTTAAAATTAAGTCTGTGAAATAATTATTAGGCTATTCTTTTATGCCTCAATTTATAATGCTCCACCAGAAGATCCTACTGATTACTCAAATTTACAGTATGAAATTTCAAGATTTTCAATTAACAATTAAGCAACTCCTGAGGTAGATTTAACTTTGAAAATTTAATTAATTTATTCAATCGATACTTTTTCTGATTCAAAGAATCCCCATAATAAATAAGGTTAGATTAATTAATAGTTAAAATAACTATTCTAATAAAAAGTACAATTGTATAATATCAGTTTCTGACTTTTAATATAGATTAAATTATCAGTGCTATTATAAACTGTATTTTTAAGGAAATTAGAGTTTTTAATAGTGATAATGCCTAAAATACAATTTAAATTTAAGAGTAAGGAAGAAATTTAGAGATTATTTTAAACATATTCATGCAAAACATTATCAGAAAAAGTAATGTTGTATAAATCTATTTTAGTTTATTAAATTGAATCTATAAAGATTATTGCAGTTTAATATGTTGAATTTGATAATAGTAATTGATTTGATTTAACTATTATATTTTTTATAAGAATTGTTTCAAGTTATTATTATTTTCCTTTGTCAGTTGATTTATAGTATAGAATTGGTGAATTATATGTTTAAGTCTATGTAATTTACATATCTACTATTTCAAAATTAAGAACTGAAGTGACAAAGAGAGATTGTAAATAATATTCTCCCTTCACTTATTGTAATTAACAGTCGAGATATTAATGAAGTCCTAAAAATTTATATTCATCTCCTTAAGTGATCCTACTAGAGGTTATTTTTAACTAGTTAGCTTCAACTATGCTGAAATCAATTAATCCAAATCTTCTGATTATATTGAGTTCTGAAATTAGAATATAATCTATTGAAATATAGATTAAACATGAACTTTAAGTATTCAAAATAAAATCTGAAGTGATTGATGAGACATAGTTCTTTGAGATTAAAATATTTGTAATTATTATTTTTGAATAACCATTATTGTATTTATCAAACGATAAAAATTTGGTTGTTTAATGATATTCATTCTCCTCAATTATAAGATTGAAGAATTCTATTTGTAAATATTCCAATTAGAGTGAATCAGAATTTATTATTCCATAGCTTCTTTCTTTAAATTTACAATCTTTTATAATAAAGTCATATATCTGATTATTGTTATTCAAAATGATAAGAGTAGAATTTAAAATAAAGGAATTATGAAATTGTATTTCAGTCATTTTCATTTTTTAAAAAAGGTACAGATTTAAGAAATGTAAACAATTTAGTACATCTACTTGAAAATCAATTTTGCTCATATCAAGAAATCCAAACTATTGAGATATTTATGTATCTAATAAAGTAGAATTTGAAAAATGTGCTTGAATAATTCCATCGGTAATTGAAATGATATCATTTTTATTGAGATTAAAAAATAGAGTTACTTAATTTTAGAGTATGGAATTAAGAATTTAAAAAGATGAAAGTGTTATTTATTTATCATAAGTAGTATTAGCAATGTAAATAAATGTATTTATGGTATTTTAAATAAGATCTATAATTTTGAAATCGATTAAATCTAATTTCTTAACATCATTGAATACCAATCTTGATTAATCATTTTCTAAATTTAGTTGTTAATATTTAATGGATCTCAATATAATTATTTATGGTAGTCTACTAAGAAATATTATTTATTTTAATTTATTATTACTTAATGGATTAAATTAAGCTCCTTAGATTGTAATTTTCCTGAAATTTTAGAAAGTGATAGTTCTCTCAAATTCAATGATAGTATGTTAATTTAATTAAATATTTAGCTCAACATTTCTAATATAAATTTATAATTTACATAGTAGAAAATATATTTTGACTAAAAACTTATTGAATAGTAGCGTTTCCTTAAATTTTACAAGTTTAAGGTTTGATACTAAGAATATTAATAATAATAGTTTTGATTAACTTTGAATTGGCTGATAAATAAAAATGATTAGTTTCAAACTATATAATTTAATGATAATAATTACATCTTTAAAACAGTTTCCAGAAATAAGATCTTCTAAAAGTATATTTTTCAATTTAAACTAATTTTATTAATAGGTTGATTAGAAAGCATTTAAAGCTAAGGTATATTCTTGTTTTGAGCAATACAAATTCATAGGAATAATAAGAGATTGTTCACAACTATCTGTATTTGAACACGCAATAAAGGTTCCTAATACTTAATCATAATAGTAATCTTGATCGTCAAAACTCTTTAAACATTGATAGGTAGAAGTGAAATATTAATGATTACTAAAAAGAGGATTAATAGATGAGATTTCATCAAATGATCTAATTCTACATAAAGCACAATTTTATGGACAAGTAATACATTAATTTTCAGATAAACTAAGTTTTCTACCTTATTGTTCTCGTTCACATCTAACACATTAATTTTCACCATTAATAAATTAACACTCTAAACAGGATTCTGGACAGGCTTTAATACATTTTTATTAAACTAATTCGTATCCTTTTATACACATAGTACATAAAATCTCATAATCATCTTTATTCTCACTTTAGGCATATAATTTAAATGGATGATTATTATCAAAATTAATTACAATTTAATATAAGGCTCTAATATTGATTTTCCAGTAATCTTTAATAATCTTTTGCTATTATGCACAATTATAACAATTGAATTCAGAAGGACATACATAACATTTACCTGAAATTCTATCTGCGTAATATCCACTTTTACATTCTAGACATAGATAAACAAGAGATCTCCAATTAATTTTATCTATTAAACAAGTTGCACAATTTTCAATGAATCCAGGACATTGTTAATTGAATTAGATGACTTTGAATATTTCTGATTTCTAATAATCAGTTGCAATCAAACAATATTATAATGTTGTACAAATATAGTTCCAATCATCATCAAAAGCAATAGTAATCTTTTCACCACTGGGAGTAATATAATAATCTGCTTCATACAATACATCTAAGACAGTCTCATCAATGACTGTGTTACAAATAGATTAAACATATGAGAAGTAACAATTAACTTCTACCATTGAAAGACAAATATATGAATTAAGTATTACTCCATATCCATATTCACACCTGCCACAAGTTGTATCAATGTTCTCCCAATCATCTCTTGGTATAAAATATAAGTCAAGTGTATTAATTTAGTAATCCTCACTTACAGCTTAAAAGGCATATTCACAATGTTTGATAGTATTTTCAAAACAATTCATGCCATCAAAAGATAGAAAATATTTTGAATCATCTAAACATTTTAAGCATTTTAAATAAGATCTATTTATATTTTTATCATCGTATTTTTAACAAAAACTACAATAATTTCCACAAGAAAGACACCTTCCATTATCTATTGTATAATGATTGATACAAGACAAACATTATGCGATATTTTTATCATTATCATAAATACAAGTTAAACAATTTATAGGACATTAATAGTATTAGTCATTATGATAATATATACCATCCTTAACTTAATAACAATTTCCATCTGAAGATGCTTGTAAACAATTCATGTTTGTAAATATACAATCTCCATTTTATTAATAATAGTTAGGTTTACATTTTACATATATAGTTTATCCAACATGTTAATATTTTGCTTAAAAACAATTTATAGAATCTAATTCAGGTTCACAATAATCTAAGTAGCCTGAATGTAGAAATAGCTCTCCATTTTTATCAATCAAATAAAAGTCATAATTATATATGTCTCGTTTTTCTTATTTATATGCGTCAGTTAATGTCAATTTCTTAGATATTAAATCGAATTTACAGATTGGTTTTAAATACCAAGTCAATGGATAATAAACACAATCTACACACAATATATCTAAGTAATTAGATTATGGACTTAATAATAATAAATTTGTTGATACCATTTTATGCAAACATTTTAACCATTTTCATTTTTAAATATGAAATATCCAAATTCACATTATGAATCCCCAAGAGAATATTATTCCTAAATCTCAACAGATGAAAAATGATAATTAAATTATTAACAAACTTTCTCATCATTAACATCTATATATCCATGTAGACATTAACATTTCTTTTATTCATTTAAATATTATCTATTTACATTTTATTCACAATTTATACAATTATTTTAAAGAGGACCATCACAAGTTAAACAAGTATAATGACATGCTAAAATAAAGTATATATTTATCTTACCATTAAATAGTAATTCTTTTTCAATAACATAATTATAATCAAATTTAAAATCAAAAAGAGATGCTTAAAGTAATTCATTAACATACTCATCTGATCCTAAATATACATAAAAAGGAGAATTAGTTGGTTAAGCAATATCACGACAGATTTCCACTAAATTTAATTCATTAAAGAATTTAATTTTAATACAACTTTTTTTTCCAGGAATTTAAGACCCATACTCATATTTTAGAAAATGCCATTATTGTAGTCCTTAAAAATAATATTCAGAATCAGTATCAAATAAGGTATCATGAATTATTTGAATAGGATCATTATGTTTAGAACCAATCATTCCCATTATTGGAATTAAATGATAATCTAGACGAATTTAAATATAAGTATATAAAGGTTCATCTTTATCTAACCAAATTAGCATTTAAAATATTTCATCTCCAAAGTTTGATCTATCAAAATAATTTTTAAAAAGACTTATTCTAATCAATGGATAAATAGAAACTTAAATTACTTTTGAAATATCATATTTAACCCAACCATAAACACAAAACTTACTTCCAAATTAATTAATTGTATATTAAAGAGATGTATCACCTTCAAAAATTTATAATCCTTTGACCAAATAGATTGTTTATTCACCTTGAATTGGAGAAGGAATCTAACAATTAATTTTCATATATTCAAATAAATCTAATTGATCAATCTTATTGATAAATATTTTAGACAATCTTCCTTTAAATACATTAAGATTTAAATTCTCAATCTTATTATATATAATTATAATATATTACATAGCCTCTTCCTCCTTATATTATTTAAATATAATCTTATCCAAAATTCATTGTTCCACTCTATCTTATTTAATCAGTCATATCTACTACAATCTTTCCATCTAAGAAATTAAAGGTTATGAAGCTCAGAATCCATTTAGCTACATAATTTATTGGTTAAAAATTAAACACTAAATTTATTTAGTTACTTCCTAAAATAATTATTTTATGCTAAACTAACATATTTTATTAATCTAGATAAACAAATCCTAACAACGAATTGTTTCTACTTCCCTTTACTAAAAACAATAGTTGTCCTAACTCAGCATCATTCTTAATAAAATCTTATTCCACTTAGGTACTATCCTTTAAAATTAATTGTGGAATACAAAGACTCCAAAAACCAAAACCAAATGAATCCCCAACATCCAAAGTAACATAAGAATCAATCCGATTATTTTGATATTGTTTATCAAGAGGTATTAATGCCTATTCATATTCATAATAAGGACAACTCTAAGTATATGCAAACCTTAAAACTATGAATATTGGAATCATTTAAAGAAGTTTATTACAGATGAACATTTTTAACATGTAAATTTGATTATTTAAATATTATCAAGATATGTTAATACCAAATGTATAATTTTTATTATTGCATATTTTAATCAAAAAAGGTTTAAAAAAAATAATTTAAGCAAATCTCAATCGAAGAAGATATTTAGCCATCTTTTCATAAATATGTCTTTTAGACTTAGTAAAAGTTTAAATTTGGAATATACATTTATTGAATTCATTGAAAATCTAAGAATTTTATATTCTAATAAACAGATGCCTGATATTTTTAATTATTATCAAAGAATTATTTCTCTTTTTTAAGAATATTAATATGAAAATGATATTGATACTGTTTTACTATCTTATAGGAATTTTAAATTTAGGTTTATTTAATTGTATTCAGTACATAAATGCTGAAATCTTTAACATTAGCACTAATTTTATATGCTAATACATCTCAAAGAACTCTCAATAGATTATCCTAAATGATTTATCTTTATTTGATGATCAAACTAATTATGTTTGTTCTAATTTTTTGGAAATAATAAGCAATTTTTAATTTGCCCATTACATAAGTGATTTTATAATCTTATTTCTTAACACAATATCATTTATATTTTTTATTTTTCTTAAATTTATTGAATAGTAGAATTTTAGTAAATTTATTAATAAAAACATATTTTATAAAATTATATTCTTTTGATCATTAATGGATGTATATTATTTGAAATATCTGAAGCAACCTAATAAACATTCTCTAAAATTGGAGATCAATTTAATTAACTTAATATCAGAAGTAGCTTTAATACTAATTTCCTTAAAATTTGATATAATTCTTAAATGCAAATATATTATACTATATTTACTCATCTCATTCCTCTACTATCTTTTAAAATATAAGGGTATATGAACTAACTGAAATTGAAATTTAACAAATTTAACAAATTATATACAACCTAGAATTAGCAATCAAATAAAATTTATTAGGTTTAAAAGATTTAGTGAAATTTCTAACTTCAAAAATTCTTCAATCGGAAAACAATAATATATAACTTTATTTTATTCAGAGAATCCCACTTATATTTTAGGAAAATTTATTAAAGTAAACTATAATTAATGAAGCTGTTTAATTAAAAATATATCATAAATTGATCAAATATATCATTTAATTGAAAAAGAATGATTTTATTAAAAACTTAAGTATAAGTTTAAACTATTATTTTGCACAATAATTTTTGGCTGCTTATTTATGATATGGTGATTTCTGACTTAGATTACTAGTTTTTAATAGATACGGTTTATAGTTTTGGTTTTCATTGTTTATTGGAAACTACTTGAATGGATTAAGAGGAGGAAGAAAAACTTATCGAAAAGCTTAAGTATGAATTATAACTAAGGTACTAAATTTATCTAAAAAAAGCTTGAAAAATATATCGTGAAATTAATAAATTTCCATATGCTAAGTACTATTTTATTTCTATTATATTTTTAATCTATAAACTAATAGAAAGCCTCTATCTTGATAATGTGAAACTATCTACTATATGTATTTTACATTTATTAATATTTTCGGCTAAATTATATATAATTGATTTTTAAATTCAATACAAACTCTTTCAACATATTGAGTTAGAAAACTTATTGTTGTTACCCCTTTTGCTTCTTTTAATAAATGAAAATTAGCTTTTCTTCATTCTCACTTATAGCATAAACAATATAGCATTTCCGTCCCATATCCATATTATTAAAGTATTTATTTCAAAATTAAGGAGCAAGCTTATTCTTAATTTATTCATAATCTGTAAACAAGATGTGTAATCAACAATTTATAAATTCGTATATCTTTTGCCATATGTTAATATGACAACCCTGTTAATGATATCTGATAATCAAATCACAATTTATCTATTTGTATGACTCAAGAATTCATTCTTAAAGATACTTAAAAAATTTCAATTATCAAATCAATATTCTCAAACATAAATCAAAATAAAATGCAATCAAAATATATCATGTTAGACCCATAATTATAAAAAATACATATAGACTTGTCTGCTTAGTTTTGACCATCCTAAATCTTTTATTATAGAAATAAACTTTATTTATTTGAAAAAGGTCAAGTTGAGCTTGTTGAAGTATATATTGTACATTGAATATATAGAGAAAAAAATAGCCATTTTTCTTAATATTAAATCATGTAAAAATATAGGTAATAATGAGTCTTTAGAAATAATGTCAATAGTATATATATAATATAGTGGTATGGAGAAATATGATCAATAAAATCAAAAGAATGGAAAATGAGTTGAGTTAAATGAGTAAGTTTTTCATAATTATAATAGATATTAAATTAAGAATAGTTAATTAATATCATTATTTTTGGAAAAAAAATAAGTAAGTTAACAAGCCATAATCTCTTACATAAAATCTTATTCTACATTTTATATCTTATTCATTTAAATTATTAATGTATTTACCATTTAAAAATTTATAAAATGAAGAAATTTTTAAATGCTACATATTTTTCATAAATGAAGGTTTCTCATTACAATTCACCTATATTTTAAAAGTCAACTATTCCTGAAAAGGTTTAAACAATCTTTCAGAAAATATATTTTCTAAAATAAATTAAAATATCTTTGTTAAATCACTAGCCTTATAGTTCAACTATTAAATAAAGTCATTTAATTTCTCACTCTTTAAATCTTTGATAGCTTTATAATTTAAAAGATTAAAGTCCCAAAACTCAAATCTATTTCTTAATGACTAAACTTTATAATTGAAATATATTTTTTAGATGTTCAGGAAATTATGTTTAATTTTATCGTATATATTCTAAGACTTCTTATTTAGAATGTAACAATGTGTAAATAATTGTAATAAAGAAGAGCTCAAATTTACATTGATATCTTGAAAATTGATTAATTTTGATGATTAATCATATTGTAGTATTTAGAATTAATGATCATAGAAATCTAAAAAGATAAATAACTTAATTAAGGCAGTTAATAATAATATCTATTTTTTATTGTAATAAATTATGAATATAATTTAGAACTGAAAGAATGCCAAAATAAATTATATATGATAATATATAATAATAATCTATAATTAAATAATTGAGAATAAAATTTAAATTATTTTACATTTATATTATCTTTAAGAGATTCTTCCATATTTTAAAATAAGATCTAAATTGATTAGTTATTCTAATTAATATTTTATAATGGTTATTAGGTTATTTAATTACTAAAATTATTATTAATTAAAAAAATATTATTCTAAAATAATGGATATTTTAAATGGAGAAGATCATATATTAAAAGTTTCAAATGAGATTGATAAATATGAGGATGAAGAATTCATATTAACTATTTTAAATATAACTTCATAAGAATACAGGAATAAAATCAAAAAATTTAAAGGTTATGGATCAAAAAAATTATGTGCCAATGTTGTTGGAAAATAAGAAATGTTTTATTAATGCTTTGATTGTAGCATAGATACTAACCATATCATTTGTAAAGAGTGCTTCATTCCTGAAATTCATAAAAGTTTTTAAAAAATATTATGTTAGATCATGCTGTATTTTTTGAGCAAATTCATTCTTAAATGCCAGGATTTTGTGATTGTGGTGATACAATGATTTTTGAAGCTAATTCAATGTGTCCTAAACATCAGCCTGTTTTAATAAAGTTTGGGAATTAATAATTATATTGTAATTAATATTATTGAATTAGATGATAAAATTGCTAAAAATTATGAATAATTTTTAATGATTGCCTTCAGCTTATTATAAAAGAAATTATCAGAAATAATTGATTATCCAGCTGATTTATTAGAGAATATAGAGAATATAATCAAGGGATTAAAAAATGATACTTTGATGAATTATTATAATTCTGAAAAAATTCATTTTTAATCTATTCAGAATTCTATGAATTAAGCAAAACTAATTCATAGATTAATTTTGAGGTGCTTAGAAATCATAATAACAGATAATATTATATGGGGTTCTCTCACAGGTAAAATTTTAAGATAGGAATATAAATTCAAAATAAATAATAAAATAATCACATCAATTTCACTTTTGGAGTTATATATTAAAAATCATGCATATTTAGTGGAATCCCTTAAGCTTGATTAAGATATTTCAACTTTTTTTCCTGTTTTCTTTTAGGAGGATGATTTCCGAAATTATCTTAATAGAATTGTGATACGGAACTTTAAGAATTTTTATCTTTTCTTTCATTCCTACAAATTAAAAACCATTAACAATGAAGAATTTAAATTTTAAATATATTAGAGAACTAATGATAAAAAATTGAATATTTTAATATAGTAAATACTTCATTGTAGCTAAATCAAATAAATTTAATGTGATAATATTATAATTAGCAGTGCACTTATGGAAAAATTTTATAGTTTTATTTAGAGTTGTTATGTTGAAATTCTAAAGTTATACTAAAAAAATAGAACTCCAATATCTTATAAAATATTTGATGATATCTCAGATCTGTTCTTAAAAATGTAATAAATATAATTAATTTAGTTCATTTATAAACTCAGCTTCCCTAGATTTATTTTATTCTATCTTTTATTTTTTAGGATTGATGCTCAAATGCAAATAAGGTCTTAAAGGATTAGTGAATTAAATTCAAGAAATCCTTTCAAAAGATTTTCATTATTTTTAATCTCAAATATTAAGTCCAAATTCACCTGAGTTTTAGAAATTATTACATTAATCTTTATTAATTTATTCATTAACTAGAAGTTGTCCATGTTAACAAAACAAAGACTTAACTCTAGAATCTCAGACAGATGAAATGGATGAATAATCTTTAAATTGTTTATTTTTGCAATTAATTATGAATTTATCCTCATTTAGATGTAATTTAAAATCCATGTTATTGGCTATAGGGCATTTACAATCATATGAAGTTTAAAATATATAAAGAATAATCTTGCATTATTTTTTAAATAATTTAGTAACTACTTTCAATTTAAATTATTATTAATCTTAACTACAATTATTCTTGTCTAATTTAGTCTTAAGTGATAGAAATTTCATAACTGTTTTGACAATATATATAATGAATTTTTCAAATTCTAAGGAAGCATATAATGATATCCTATAAATTAGTGGAAAAGATAATTAATAATTAAAATTAATTATGTTTCATATACTAAAAAGAGCTATTTTAAATTATTACATTTTTTCAGATTATCAATTCTATTAAGGAAAATAAGCCGATTTCGATTATTTAGAGGGTGAAATAGCTCTTTAATAAGCAGATGTGGCCTATATTTAAATTTATGCTTATCTATTTTAAGAATAGGGAATCAATGACATTATTTAGTGCTTTTAAGAAATTGAATCGCATCTTAAGCAGAAGGAAAATTTAGCTTTATTAATTTGTAAAATTGCTTAGACAGATAATGATTTAATATAGTGTGTAGAAAGCTTTATTGATAAAGAAAAAAATGTTTAATTATAAAAAGGATTGCATAAATTATTTTAAACAATATTTTATTCTTAAACATTTTATCAATTGAATGAAATGAAGAGTATACTTTAATCATTTAGTAATATAAATTATAAGGGTTTTGAATCTTTCACATTGAGTTCTTGTGAAAGAAATTAAGATAATGGGCAATTATAATTAAAAAAAGAACTTAAATTACCTATTTATGAACCTATTTATGCCTTCTAAAATTAATATATAAAAGAAACAATTAGTGACAAATTATAAATGTAGAATGATAAATTTGCTGAATTATTTGGATCCTCATTAGAATTTGAATTATAGAATTATAATACTGATAAATCAACTCTTACTAATATTAGATATGAAATACTTAAAGGAATATCTGTTGATAATTAATAATATTTATTAGACAGAATCCTAAATGATTTAGAAAGCACTTTTTAATCAAATATGGAATTTGATATAATTGTTGATCAATTAATCAAGATCTTACAAAATAATGCCATATATATAAATTTATTAATTTTATCTAATTCCTTTTTTAAGGCTTCAAATATTATTATTTAAAATAGTTTAGATAAAATTTATCTTTATTGTTAAGATATTTTATCTAGTTAATAAATTAATTACACATAAACATTATTTTTTTAAGTTTATTGCTAAAGATTAGAGAACAAAAATATAACTTAAAAATTGAATGAGCCTGATAATAAATAATAATCAAAATCTCAAAAACATTAGTAATATAAATAATAATTACAATAACAATTCTATTAAATGTAACAAGACTTTAATAGCAAGATTAACAATAATTAATAGCTCATTGAAGATACTGATGAAACATGTTTATTATGTAAATTACCTTTTGAAAAAGAAGATCTTTAGTATTAACCTATATTAATTCAATACACAAATATTTATTAATATTTAGACATTATTTAATTGTAAAATACTTCAGAAACCAATTTTTTATCTGTGCACATTTAAAATTGTAATCATATATTTCATGATAATTGTTTAAAAAAATAAATCTATTCTTTAAACGAAAAGGATTTAAAATTTTAGTAGTGCCCTTTATGCTATTCTCCTTATAATTTTTTGTTTCCAAGTTCTTATTAAAGGTAAAATATAGAAATTCAACAATTTGAATTTTCAATCTAAGTTTTCTTAGAATCACTTTTCAATAGCAATTTAGAAATATTTGAGAATAAATATAAGAATGAACTTTTTGATATTCTCTCATTTCTAGATGAAATCCTATCTGAAATTTTATGCAATTTAACATTCTAATTATTGAGTGACTTCGAAACTTTTATTAAAAAGAACCAACATCTCTTTATATAAAAAATAATAGATTTGATGAAATGGCTTTATTAAAATTTCGATACTAATTTTATTGAAAATATCAAATTAAGTGATAGCGAAATATTATTTTAAATTTTACAATTAATTTTAACTCATCTAATAAAAGAGTATAATATTGAAAGTTTTAAGTAAAAATTATAAATATTATTAAACTCTAATTTAGAATTGGCTGAATCATTATTTGACATATTTACATAAAAAAAAATCAATAAACAAATAAGTAATAGATTATTACCTTATAACATATAAAAAATAAAAGAGTAATTTAAACAAAAAAGAATAAATATATTAACAAATAATTTTAGTTCATTTTTATCATAGAATTACTTAATTCCATGTTAAAAAAAAAAATGCAAATTTCCTAAATATTAATTAGAAACCAAATTTAAAGGATAATACATTTGCCTTATATGTTAAAAAAAAATGTGTTCAGAATTTTGTGGAAAACTTTAGTAAGTAATTATATAAAATTTATATTTAAGTAAAATCTTGGAAATTTATAAAGACACTCTAAGAAAAGACATTTAAGTAAAAGTGTGTTTCTAGATGTTGAAAAAAGCTAAATGATATTGATATATTCTCCTTCTTTTACCTTCATGCCAAACACTCTATTTATAGATAAGATAGGAGATTCACCAATCAAAGGCCCATACCAATTATAATATTACAGGAAGTTTATTTTGAATTTGAAAACATTAGATCAAATCTTTGAGATAATTATGGAAGAAAAGTACTTAAATAAATTAATTGAAAATCAAGATGGTGTCTACATACATTAAATTTGAAAAATATTATAAATTTTTTACATTTAATACAAATTTTAAAATGAAATACTACTGCTTGGGCTTTCGTATTTTAATTATTCGTTCTATTAAATATTAGTAATAGTAATTAGAAAAACTTATTTTATAATCATTCTTCTTTGTAATAACCTATTCATAATAACTTCAAGAATAAAGATATATCTCTTTATTTTGTATATTTAATATGAAACATTCTTAAAAAATGAAATTGGACGATTTAACATTAAAATGATAAATAATATATATTGGAATTATATGAGAATTTTATAAATTATAAAATATTTAACTAATTGATCATTAATTAATACAAATTTTTATTCACAAGATTTTACGTTTTTTATTAATATAAATAGATGTATATTTTCCAATAAAACCAGAAAGATGTTAAACTTAAGCTTCAACATATCTTAAATTTCGGTCTTATGGAATAGTTATTAAAATGTTGATTTTAAACAGAAATTTAAAATGCCTTTAAATTATTATTATAAGATTATTTAGAAAATAGAATAAGAATTAATTCATCATTATCGAAGATAAAAAGGCTTTTTATAGCATTTTTATAATAACTTCTGCATTTCTCTTGCTTAAGTTTAAAAATTTTAAGACATCAATTTAGAAACTCAAATTGAAATTTCTTGGATAATGTCATTATATTAAATAGAGAAAAGTCTTCATAAATCTCTATATTTAATGGAAGCTTTTTCAAGCCAATGGTAATTTTTCTTAAATTTTTAATCACAAATACCATTTCTCAAGTAAAGTGTTATATAAAATAAACTTTCTAAATTATATTTATAACTTAATTCTTTTCCTTTATGAGATGTTCTACCCTGCCAAATTTAAAAACTCAAAAATAAATTTTGTAAGAATTTAAATTACCTATTGATTGAGATAGGCTAAAAACAATAAATGAGATGAATTCAGGCTTGAGTAATTTTTCATTCCAATTTCTTACGATTGATTATTATATAATTATATCTGGTTTAATAACTAAATGGAAGTATTTTTAACTACTTACTTATTCGATAATCCAAATTATTTTAAATTTCAATTACTATAATAATAATAAAGGTGCTTTATAATTTTGATCTAGTAATGTTTTTACTCATAGAATAAAATAAGAAAAATTTTAATTAATTTTCTTCATCACTAAGTCTTAACTTAATTTAAACATTTTAATCATTGTATATATAATTTAAGAACTCAAATATTATTTTAGACAACTCTTCAATAAATCATTAAAAAATTAGAAATTTGAACTAATTAATCTAATAAAAATTTAATTTAGATCCTTATAGCATCATTGAAATGTAAACTAAATAGTAATATAACGCATTATCAGATTTTGATTGCAATTATAAATAACAGTTTAAAATAGAGAGATGGAATAAAATTAAAAAAATGATACATTGATTGATTGAATTTTGGATAGTGTATAATATCTAAATATTTTTTTAAAATATCATTTTATACATTAATATATATTTTTTAAATACATCGTTTCTTGCATGCTCAACTATTAGCTTTGAAAATCACTTTTCTTCTAAATTCAAATAGCTTATATGAAAAAGACATTTTCAACCTAAAAATAATTATTATTTTTTAATAAATTGGAATTATTTATAATGATACATTTTATTATATCAAGGAATCCAAAATTCAAGATTTTCTAAATAACTTAAGATTTTACAAAATTCAGCTCAAAAAATCATACCTAAAAAATTATATTTTATAATAAAAATGTTGTGTTTATTTATATCTATTAATATAAAATTTCAATTATATTTCATCTCCCTTAGTTTTCTATTCTCCATTATATCCATTTCTATCCATGTTCCTACTTTTTTACCTTTCATATTATATTCACCATTATAAATGATTTATTTATCCCATTTAAACCAATCATCTAATTAAACCCAATTTCCAATCATTTTCTAATTGCCTTTTTAATCATATGATCCACCACCACTATATTTTTCTTATATGATATTTACATTAATTTATATCCCTTTCCATCACCATAATCAAACATTATATCCCATCTACCTACTTTTATACCATTCTAATTATATTCACCATTATAAGTGACTTATTTTTCAAAATTAAACCTTTCATCCAATTCTATCCATTATCCAATCTTTTACTAATTTCCTTCTTAATCATAAGATCCACCACCACTATACACCCTTAATACTTCTATAATATTTACATTTATTTATATTTCTATTCATTGTATCGTCGATACATAGTATTCCATCTCCCTATCTTTATACTATCCTAGTTATATTCGCCATTCCAAGTCACAAATTTTAGTTTACAAAACCCTTCATCCAATTCTATCCATCTTCCAATCTTTTACTAATTTCCTTTTTAATCATAAGATCCCCCACCGCAAATATTCCTCATACTCATACAACATTTACATTAATTTTCCTCCAATCCAAAAAGCATCCCATTGACCAATCTTCATACCATTCATATTATATTAACCAGTTAAAGTTACTTATTTTACATCTCCAAATCCATCATCTAATTCAACCCACTTTCCAATCTTTTATTCGATTCCTTCTTAATCATATGATCCACCACCTCTATAAATTTCTTATATAATAATTACATTTATTTATATTCCTTCTCATCCTATTTGCGATACATAATATCCCATCTACCTACCTTCATACCATTCATAGCATATTTACCCTTATAAATAACTTAAAATGATTTTTAAAACCCTTCATTTAATTCTACCCACTTTCCAATCTTTTTCTAATTTCCTTCTTAATCATATAATCCACCGCCACTAAATTCCTGATACTTATATGATATTTACATTAATTTATATCCCTTTCCATTTCTATTATCATACATTATATCCCATATACCTATCTTCCTTCCATTCATATTATATTCACCATGATAAATAACTTATTTATAATTATGAAACCCTGAATCTAAATCAAGCCATTTTCCTTACTTTTAACCATATCTATTGTATAACCCGCCTCCACTAACCAAAATTGTATAATACATACATCCTCTATTCGTAACACTGATACATCCAACTGCCTATTCTCAAATCATTTTAATATTCTCCAATTTCGAAAACTAGAGCCCAACTATTCATAGGATGTAATAATAATTACTTACTTCGAAAAGTTTATGAAGAAATCTTTCCATAATCCTTGTTTATAGCCATCATTAAAGTACCCGCCAACATTCTATAAAAGATTTTTATCCCAAAAAGCTATGCATTTTCCATGCTTTTTGTTCTAAACAGATTAAGTTTGCCAAGAAAGGTATAAGATTTGATCCATATTGTTAATTATTTCTGGATTCTCAAGAAAATTTTCAATTTATACTCTTTATTTAACTGATTAAATATTTACACTCTCAAAACTCTATTATTATGTGAATAGATGATTTATTGATCTTAAGTGAATTTGATTAAAATTTTTATTTTCTCAAGTGTATGTTTATCTTTTCCATAATAATCAACTTCTTTTTCTCTAGTTTATTATTCCAAATTAGTTGCTTATAAGCCACCTTCAATATTCTCATAAGAAAAATTCATTTTTTTGAAAATTAATTTTATTTCTTTTAAAAATAAATTGTGTTTATAGCTTAACTATCAATAATAACCTAATCCGAAATTCTTGAACTTTGCTAACTCATTTATTTTTCTTCTTTTGCAACTGCATCAATGAGGTTAATATTATTGTTAAAGGTGGTTTTTTTAATTCACTTTATAGAATTTCTAAGTAAATATGAGTATCTCTACCCTTCTAAAATTCATCATTTATAATCATTTTTATTATTAATAATTATTATGCATTATATACCTAAAATAAATTTCTGCAGCATATTTATTAAACTTATAATTAGGATCGTTATGCAATTAGCAACATCTTCTGAATACCAATCTTATCTTTTTAATTTGGTTAAAGCATTCTGATGGCTTTCCAAATACTGCTAACCAATGTGATAAACATAAAATTCTAAGACATATCTTTAATAATTGTATATATGAGGTTATAGATTATCTC